CAGAACACTGCCCTTGTCACATCCATGGATCCAACAGTTGAGGCAGTTCGCCGTTGCCGATTTCGCCCTCGGAAATGTCATAATCGCCGAGCAGGTCGTCAACGAAATGGTTCAGGATTTCGTGGACAAATTCGATTGGCAGTTTTCTCCAGACTTGCGGTGAGAGTCCCTCCGTTGTGGTCGACATTGTGTATGAGCTGAATTAAAGAGTTTAGGCGTGAAGCTGGAAGAAGGTTGCAGGCGGATGAGTTTGCGGGATGGAGAAGTGTCTGATAGCACGGGCTTTTTGACGCGAAAATGCCCATGCACCTTTCAGGCTCACTCCTCTTCATCTTCCTCCTCACACTCACAGCGATGTTCATCATCATCCTCGATTCCTCCTCTCTCTGATTCGTTTCTCTCCTCACACTGTATGCTTTCCTCTCGCTTCCTCGCCCAATTGTCTAGAAATTGCGCCATAGTCTCTTGCCATTTGAGTCGGACACGCCGCCCTTCTTCATCTAGCAGCTCCAATCCCAGAAGATGAGACAAGCTCGATGCTCAGCCGATCGGTTTCTCCGGAGCTGATGACATTGTGCCAAGCGGCTAAAACTGCGGTAGGTAGGGGGAGGGCGTTGGGTGTATGGCAATCAGCGTCGGCCCATCTGGTGCGAAACTGATTGTCGTGGGCAAAGATGGGATCGTGGAGGGTGAGTATTGCCCATTCCGAGTCAAAGGAGGGGGTGATGGCATCCCTGTCGATAGCGTCAAATCTCCAACCAGAGAGAACTTTTCCTTCCCAGGGCGGCTGAGCTGCTTCATAAACCTCCGTATTCAAGTCAACATCCTTCCGGATGACAAAGGGCAGATACGTCACCAAGTGTTCTTGGTCCCTCCAGTTATCGTCATCGTTCCACTTTGTGTGAACTGTCGGCAGCTTCTTGTCAACGTGAAGATCAACCACCCACAACCAAAGTCATCTCTCCCAGAAATGCCTCTCTATTAGCCGCGTCTGGCATGAGTGGGCAACGTCGGTAGTTCGACCTTTCCATATCCCGAGCACCCTGTTGATGCAGCGCCGCACTCTCCGATTACCCGATTTAATGGTGGTCGTCTTGAAGAGACAATCACGACCCCACCAACACCATTCCCTCTGGCTGGAGGAGCCGGAATCGAACCGGAGGAGGTCTTGCGTGAAGCGGGTGAGAATTTCCTGGACGAGTTCGAATGGGAGTTGTTCCCCGATGGGGGACATGGAGACAGAAGGGGGTTTGATGGCGGCCATCATTCGCGACTTGGGACTCGTTGAGGGTAAGAAGCGAAGCGTAGATGGGAAAAGATGAAAGTAGCACGTGGCCAGACTGAAAGATCCAACTTGTAAAGCGATTGTGATGATGATGATGATGATGATGATGATGATGATGATGATGATGATGATGATGATGATGATGATTGGTTGTGAGGAAGAAGACTGAACCTTTTATACTGCTCAATACGCCGTCTAGAAGAAATTTTGCACGAGCATTTCTGGTGGGTAGGTAGCAATCTGTCAGTGGCATCCCTCAGGTGACTGAGCCAACTACCAACTGACCGAAGTGTATGGGGTGACACCGAACTCTTCCTGCCAACTTACCCGGTAAGCAGGAGCATGCCTGCCTGTGTCCCAAAAACAGAAATACGAAGCTTACTGGGTGCAGCTTTCCAACGAAGCCAACAAAACCTAGGCAAGCCGCGGAAGGTACTACCGTACCTACCTCGTGTTTCGATGCCGTTTCGATACCTTAGTCATACGCGCAGATGAAAGGCACAACCGGTGCTGTTTCTTTTCCATTTCACCGAGTTACCATCTGCACCAGAAATACGAGCACGATCACGGCGCCCGATGCACCCATCAACTTCACCAACCAGGTTCAACCTGGTCCTCCATCCGTTTCTGAAACGTCTCGGGAAACCCATCAACAAACCCCTTCCACTTGAACCGAATGCGATGTCCATCATCGTCGTCGTCTCCAGCGCTTTGAACGACCCCAGGCGACACTGTCGTAGGATAGATATGAGGTTCTATCGAGGGTCATGGCGTTCAACCAGGCGTAGAGTAGGTCATTGGCGTAGGGTAGCTTTCTAGATCTGCTGCCCGACTCTTTCCTGCTTCGTCTGACTCTACCGGGCCGGCAAGGATGGGAACGGCGCTTCTGGGAGAGGAGAGGAGGTCATCGATGAAATGGGTGAGGATGTCGATGACAAGTTCCATAGGGAGCTTTCTCCAATTAGGTGATAGTTCCTCTGGCGTAGTCGTCATTGTGCGTTGGGCGTGGACACGTGCAGGCTACCAGGTTGACTGAAGCCACGAGACAGTTGTGAAACTGAAGGGAAAGGGACCCAGAAAACGAAGGGTACACAAAGAGAGACCTATATAGAGGAAGGCTTTCGGGTTCATGTCAGTTGGCGTTTCCTGACTCGAGCGTAGGCACTATGGGAGTAGGCCCCAGTCAGCCTTCAGGCAGCATTCAACTTACAACAACTTCAATTATCTCCACATAGGGAAGTCTTTACCGGTACTTGCTATAGTGACTCGTATACGACGATAGGCGATTCAACTGGGACAAAAGCTCAGTCACCAGATCTTTCCACCCAAATTGGATCCGCTGTCCCTCGTCGAGAAGTTTCAACCCAGACTCTTCAAGGGTCGAATAAACTGCCACCACATTCGGGGGTCGTCCGGGTCAATAGCTTCGGGAGCGTCTGGAGGATCCACATCCATGTAGATGACCATGTTGGGAAGCCAGGGGTCTCAAAAGTGTCGTTCGAAGCGCAGCCTCTGTGATCTGAAGAGGCTGTCTTGACCGAAGGCTTGCCAGTGTTGACAGACTTGGCCAGTGAACTCGGGGTCGAAGTATCCGCTGTAGGAAAGGTCGTCGGTGTGGTTGCATGAGGCAATGACATGATCGGTAGAGTGTTCAAGAATTTCCTGTATCAGATCGTACGGCAAGGTGCGCCAAATGGGGGAAAGCTCCGTTATGTTCGCCATGGTGAATGATATGAGGACTAAGAAAAATGTCGGAGATAAAGACAACCATGTCCTACAAGGTGGTGATTTGTTCCCTCTGGAATCTGGAATAAAGTTCGGCAGGAGTCGTCAGCGTGCCCAGACTTGACTTCCTAGCAAGCGCATGGACGACCTGGGATTGCCCATCTCCATAAACCCACTGCGCTAGCCCGCTTCGGGTATAACAATTTGACCCTTTTCGCTTCCCCACGGCGGCCAGGGGATCTCGCCAACATTCCACCCGCTGTCTGTCTCAGAAAGTTCATGGAACTTCTAGAAATATTTGTAGGTATTGAACTGCACTCACTCTTTTTCGTGCACAGTTGTCGTTCGTTTGCTGTTCGATATCCCCATCACTCACTCCAGTCACTCATTTTGAAGTCAGTAATTATTCGCGATGCAAACGCACAGCCACCATCACAACGCCCCCCCGCTGCCAATGAGACGGAAACCGGCACTTGATGCAACACCAACAACACCACATCCCACTCACCAAGCATATGCACCACCATTTACACCACAACAACATTCATACCACCTGGACCCTCCACCACCTTATTCAGGACCAACACAGTCACAAGGCCAAAGCCCAGGCTCGGCAATCGAACTCATCGACCTCATCGACGATTATCTAGGCGACTATGACGATGCTCCCCCTCAAAGTCTCGCACCTGGCCCTGCCTCTCACCTTCGCCAGCCCTCTGCCATTCCACTGCCTATTTCATTCAACAAGGAGCAGAACATTTCCCTTGCCCAACAGGAGGTACCGGTAAACACTGAAAAGCCACCTCTTCTTCCACCAAAAGCACCCGAAAGACAACAAAGACCTGGTACACCCAATGAACAAGGTGCCCAACAAACATTCCAGGCGTATCGGCCGTCGGCGGAAAAGCCCCCTTCATTGTTGGAGTTGGGAGAGCAAGCGTTGGAAAGGCCGGTAAGTAGGGGGGCTAGAGGAAGTGAGACACCGAGATATGAGCATCCGAGTGCACTGCAACCGGGAGGAGGGAAGGGGTTATCGTCGCCTTTTCATGGCCGACCTCAAACTGCTCAAGATGCGCATCATGGCCACGGACAGTATCAGAATTATCAGCAGCAACATCACCAGCAGCAGCATCAAGGACACCGGTACGATCATGGCCATGCTCACGGCAATGAAGGACACCACCGGCCGACAATGCTGGATATCCCATCTCAAAGACAACATCATGGCAATTATCATGACCACCATCAAACACAGCAGCAGCAGCAGCAGCAGCAGCAGCACTCCCGAAATTACAACAACCTGAAAGTGCAAACTAGCATGCCCGCCCTTCGACCCGGCGCTCCCCTCCAATCCTCAAACCATCTCTCTCCATATCCAACACCTTCTCCATCAGCATATGCATCCGGACCTCCTTCAGCGGCGCCCCGAAGCCCGAGTAGTCCGGTTCCTCCACTGCCTCCGCGGGCAGCAACTACCGGACATGGTGGAAGGTTTGGACCTCCTCCGGGGTCTGGCGGGCAGTATCACGGACAACATCCGCACACTCCTTTAACACCTCACTCGCCTTACAACCCATCTTCGTACAGCAACACGCCTGCTGGCAGCCCGAATCGAAGCGCCGCGCCCAGTCCCGGACCGTCCGGAGGTTCCGGAATTTTCGGATCGGGACAAGGACCCACTTGGAACGGAGCAAGCGGAGCAGGACCCACTTATAACGGCCCGGGCCTTCCCGGCCCTCCATCGGGTCCTCCACCCCGCGCTGCGACGACGACAGGAGCTACTCCTTTCCCTCCTCCTCCGCCGCCTGGCCCGCCACCGCAACCTTTAGGTCTCCCCGGACAACATCCTCACCCTCAATATGTGCAAACCCAGCAGTTCGCTCCTCCTCCACCTCCACCACAACGTTCCCTCGAGCGTCCGAGTCCGCATCCCCATGTCCAGCACGCAGCAACCTTCGCCCTAGCCAAACCTCAACAACCCCAAGCGGAACAACATCCCGGACTACACCACTCCAAATCCCTACCCCAACTCCAACAGCAGTCCCAATCCCCCAAAAAGGACGAAGGAAAAGGCTTCTGGTCCACCGCCCTCTCCGAAACAGCCTACCTCGCCTCCGGCCTCATCTCCCACCCCTTCGAATCAACAAAACACTACACCATCCTCCGCCACTCACCTTCAGTAATTTGGCACCGCGGTCCGAAAACAACCGTTACCATCTCCATCTTTTCCAGTCCCAAGTATCCGCTCCCTACACTCCCATCTCTTCCGCCAGCTGCAGGTGTGGCAGGCACCCATGTAAACGTGACAGATAATGGTTGGTCCCTCTGGATCCAACAGCGTGGATTCTCCGGCGATAGCGGAATGAAGATCAAAAACTGGCTCGGTGGTCGCGAAGACTGGGTGTGCGTGACGCCCGCTAGTCGGGTACTTGCCGATGAGCTCGAAAGTGGTAGCGCCGCTAAGAAAAAGTCGGGTTGCTAGGACTAGGCGGAGCGACTACAGAAGAAAGGGGCTGGAAGCGGGATATCAAGCGCACGGAGAAAAAGCTGAAAAAAGAGTTTGGCGAGAAAAAGGGACATGTGGCGAGGTTCACAGCCGTGGTGAGGGTGCCGGAGGGGTGCGAGGATGGGTATTTCCGGGTCCATCTTTGTTTGAACGGGGATGTTCCGTTGTCGGAGAAGGAGGAGGAGAAAAAAGAGGAAGGAGGAGGAGAAGCAAAAGAAAAAGGATGCCAAGAGCGGGACTAAAGAAAAGGAAAAGAGTGAATCGAAGGACCCCCAGGAAGCACTCGAAGAACAGCGCAAAAAGATGAAAGTCCTCTGCTCCAGCCCCATCTTCCGACTAGCCTCAACATCCACCGACCCCTCCTCCATCCGCGGCGCTACGCTGTCGACCATGCCTCTGGAAATGGGCGTCGCACTTACTTCGTTCATCGCCTCGGAAGTTATCTCTTCCAAGATTTCCCCGATCAAAGATCCCATTACTAACCTTATCGACCCGTACCGCGCCAACTTCATTGTGGAAGAACTGGGTATCATGGCGACGGAGGAAGTCAAAGCTGCACGGGAAGAAGCGGAGGAAGAAGAGCAGGAGCGACTAAGGGCGTTATTCGGTGCTATGTGTCTCGCTGGCGCTGGCGCTGGTGGCCTAGGTGCTGCAGCGGGTATGACAACAAGAGATGGACGGCAAGGAAGTCAACAAGCGAACAACGAAATGCCAGGCATTATCGGCCCCGACTCCGGCCCGTTACCACCTTTACCAATCCGCTTCGGAGGCAAAGTCATCCCCGGCACAGGAAGAAGTACATCAGAAATGGGCATCCCGACCGCTAACCTCAAAGACCTCCCGGAGGAAATAAAGCATTACTTCAAAGGCGTCTACTTCGGCTACGCGCGCATCGTGCCAGGCAAAGGAGGACCGATGGGTCCCGGGGGTCCAACGGAGGAAGTCTGGTACGAAGCCATCATTTCTTCAGGACCGGTGCCGTATGCGAAGAAAACGGCTGTGGTGGTGGAACAGCAGACGACGGTATATTTCATTACTGAGTTCGGACAGGGAGTTACTTTCTTCGGGAGTAAAGTCGAGGTCCTAGTGATGGGATTCTTGCATCCAGTGCTAGATTATCGCGAGACGAGCCCGCAGTACAGACTTGACACCGCGCATCAAGATGTTGTGCTAGCGCTGGCTAGTCTTGACAGACCGAACTGGAGTGCGCAAACTACACTGGCGCGGATGGAAGCTGCTGAACAATCAAACGGGGACGGGGAAAGAGGCCTGATAGGGGGATTCAAGAAGACCAAGGTGATGGAAAAGGGACAGGAAGTTAAGGAAAAGATTAGCGGGGCTAAGGACAAGGTGGCTAAGCAGATTGATCGGATACCGGTGCATAAAGTGGGGATTCGGAAGGATGATGGGAAAGCTAGGGATCGGTATTATGGCACGGGAGGGTATTGGATTCCTAGGTGTTAACACGTTCGGTCAAAGGGGTTGTTGGGGGTTGGTTGGATTTACGGATGGGAACTGGGATGATGGATGGCAATGGAAGGTAGCTGTAATGTATTGGTCTAATGGAGATGAAATGTTATGGAGAAGAACAATGCCATCTGAGGCGGAAAATGCTGAAAGAGAAAACTTATCAACGTGGAAACAAAACCCCAAACGCCCAGCTCCTATTGCATCAGTCTGTCATGTTCAACTCGGTACCTCTACTCAATGCTGTCCCGGAATCCCCGCCAAAATATCATCAAAAGTCGTAGCTCTCTGCCTCCTCCCCGTACCCGGCTGGGGAGCCCGAGTCCAGTCCGGTTGCGGTTGAGTCTGTGGTCGGGGCCGCGCACTAACCGTCGCCGAACGATGCACCCTAGACCCGTTCGCATTGAAACCGCCGCTTCCGCTTCCGCTTCCAGTACCCGGAGTCACATCGTAATCTGGATCGTCTTCCTTGCGCTTGCCTGTAAGGAATCGTGAGAGACGAGACAGAGTTCCAGCTCGTTTCAGCTTCGAGCCTCCCTCTTGTTGTTGTGGTGGTGTTGATGGCCGGGGATCCCAACTAGGTGTACTTGTAGAGCAGGTGCGACTCGTGCGAGTGGTGCTAGAGCGGGAGAGGGTTTCTTTTTCCGAGTAACGGTGCCCGTCCCGCTCTTTCTTGGTGGTGTTCTTCCTCTCCAACCCCTTCTCGTCTCCGTATCCGGCATGTGCATCTCCCCGTTCCCTTTCCCGTCGACTCTCCCTGCGACTGTGCCTCCTACCGGTATCCGGCTTCTCCCTGACACTACCAATTCGATCCATCACTGAATCCACTCTTTTCCTCGTGCTGTATCCCCGTTTAGGCTTTTCCTTCTCATCCCCCTCTGGAACCGCGTTATGGTCACCGAAAGGATTGTGATCAGGGCCTTCTTCGAGGATGTACCCCGGTTCTGTACCGTCGATTGCTGGGATCTCGACGCTGGGTAATGGTGTGGGAGGCTTGACGGGAAAAGCTTTCCGTAGATAGCGCCGGGTGCGCCCTCCCAGATTGTGCCGTCGGTGTTGTCGCGGTAGGTGTAGACTTGGGTGTCGGCGTCGTAGCCTATGCGGGTCATGTTCTCAGGGAGACGCTCGGCGTCTGTGTCGAGGTCTTTCCACCGGCCCATTGCGACGAGATGATTTGTCGGGGTGGCGGTGAAAGGAGGTTTGGCTCTGGTGTGGTTGGTCGGCGAAGAGGTGACAGACGTGGTATTGAAGATGTACCTGAGGTGGTCGTAATGGTAATAGAGATGTCGTCGATGTTGTGATGGGCAACCTGGATCTGGTGGAGCAGTTGTCTAACGATGATGCAGACTGTCGGAGTAGGAGAAATCGCCGTGATGCGCGGACCTGGTGCGCTTCGATACTAGGGAATTTGGTGTTTCGAAACAATTTGCCGTTGATGATGTTGGTTGTTGTGTCGAGAAACAGCAGAGAGCTGGTCTTTCTTTGAGGGTCGTCAGGGTCCCCAGAGTGGGGAGGAGCTTGGACGCCGTGTTGGTCAGGCAATGATGTCACCCTTTGTTTGTGTTATCCCTAGCTGGTGAGAGACGGGTTGGTTGGAATGACAACGGCCACGTCAAGATGTTTTGTTTGCTCAATCTGTTCCGCCTTGATGATAATGCCGTTCGAAGGATGTTCCTAGGAAAGAAAAAGGCAGAGGAGAGAAAGCGTGGTGGTCTTTGTAGGAGTTGCGCATAAGTGATAAGCAGAGGGGAAACTAGGGAAAGGACAGCGATGGATGGAGACTCACTGGATGAATGAATGAATGAATGAATGTATTTTACGACTACGTTCTACCAATAATAGATAATGTTGTCGTGTCCGCTGTCATGGGGCTGGCGCCCAGGGTGTCTGCCTGGCTTGAACCTTATATAAGCCAGGCCTGCCCTCCGGTTGGGTGCACTCCTGGGGTGCGCCGCACGAACTACATTTCTGACCTTGGCGTTTGTGGCACCTTCGATATCCGCACCTCTCTTGTGTATTTAGCTGTAAGCTCCATGCCAAACTGGCACAGACTTCTCTTTTTCCTCTTTGTCAAATATTACCACTTTCACTAAGGCCTACCTGCGTGTATACCTCGTAGAACCCTTACACCCGCGACGGCGGCTAGGCATAAGTACATTAGTGTGGGGGAAAAGGCCTCTTGGGCCAGGCGCTAGCGTGGCCGTGAGCTGGAAAAACCCTAATCCTTTCTGTGTGTCTTCACTGTTTTATTCCAGGCCTCTTGACCCCAGGAGAGCAAGCGCCTCTGCGAATGGCAGTGGCTCATCGTCCGGTTTGGGAGTTTCCGCTCTCGCCACCCTCATCCTCTGGTAGCCTCCTTCCCATAGTGCCTGGATGTGTGTGTATCCCTCGTCCTTGAGGGCTTGGATCCTTGTGAAGAATGTTGTGTAGCTTGTGCTGAAGGCCTTCAGCGTGTCTTCTGCCGCGTTCGGGTTGCGGTAGGTGATCAGTGAACATACAAAATAGTGTCCTTTCTTGCAGGGTGCTCCACATGTTCAGTACCAGAACGTCTTGGGGGTGGGGGTAGTTGAAACGATCGTGGTAGGAGTGAAAGTTCCAGTGGCCCGTTCGTTCTCCTACCCACCTCGTTAGGTATTTGCGTAGTAGTCCAAGGTATGGATTGTTGTCTTTGTACCATGGTTGGTCCATGAGGCTGTGTGGTTTGTTGCTGGCCCAGTATAGCTCTGGGTCGGATTCGGGTGGCAGGGTCCATTGTCTGAGCTGGTGTGTCTGTTTTTCGGTGCTGGGGGCGAGCCAGTTGCGGAGAGCGGGCAATCTAGGGCGCCACATTTCGTCTGGGGGTTCTTCTGGTGGGGGTTGTGACTTTGCAAGGGCGTCCAGTCTTGACCATCCCCTTGGTGGAGATTGTCTCAGTCTCTGTGTGAGTGGGTGGTTGCCCGGGAGTGTGTGTAGCCTGGCGGCAGCCTTCGCCATCTTTCTTCCAATGATTTCGTTCGGGGCCATATTAACCAGCTGTTACGATCTAATAGGAGACCACTTATGTAAGCAGCTAGGTAGACCAATCAGGGCCGCGCCGGAGCGCCGGAGTGCCGGCGCCGCGGCTACGGTAAGATGCCGAAGGGCCGGGATAGCCCATCGGCGCAGCGGCGCCTTATTGAAGAACCAGTATAAAGGAAAGCCTTCCCAGGCCTTCCAAATACAGAGCTCTTCAGCAAGCAATAGCTATCACAATCTACCAGTACCTTTCGGCTACTACTCCGTTATTGTATTGTTCTATCCCAGCGATAATACTCCTGTGCTTGTAACGGTTCCTCACACGAGCCAGAATGGGATCTGTTTGGGTATTGTATCCCAGATCAGCATCGTCGTCCTGAGTGCCTTTGACGCTGCCATTTCTAGTTCGTTTAGTGCTGATTTGATGTTGGTAGAGACCAGGTTATCTTTTCTTCTGGGTTTGGTGTATCCCGGGAAGAGTGCTGCCGTTTTGTACATTAGTGTCAGTATAAGGCATGTAGTGAAAAGTTGTTTGGCCGTACGTGGGGTGAGGCCTCTGAAGACCTGGTTGATTCTTGCCGACAGCCCGATCACTGCCGTTGCCTTGGGTGTACGTCTTCGGACTTGTGTCGCGAGTGAGAGTTTGGCGTCTAAGTGTACTTCTAGCCAACGCATCTCGCTTTGGAGTCTCACCGGGCCGGCTGGTGTGTTGACGGTGATGTTGTTGGGGTTCCGCCAGTTTTTCTTCGCCTCCTTGCCCCGTGGCGGGAGGTAAAGTGCCTCTGTTTTCTTGTAGTTTATCTTGAAGCTTAGATCGAGTGCTCGTTTGTGGAGTTCCGCTGCCCTTTGTGACGCCGTGTGGAGCATTTGTGTTGCGTCGCGGCCCACCGTGAGCTGTGCGATGTCATCTGCGTATGAGAATGCTGGTCCTTGGTGTCTCTTGGGTAGGGATGCCGTGAAGAATAGGAACAGTATAAGGGACCATGGGGATCCCTGCGGTAATCCGTTGCTCGAGTGGAAGCGTTTTCTTGCCCACCTGAATGCGAAGTACCTGTCGGTGCACAAGTTTGTGACTAGGGACCTCAGGGTGGGTGGCCATCCCTGTCCGTGTAGGACTTCCTCCAGCTTGTCCACCCGTGTGAACAGGAAGGCAGAGTCGATGTCGTATGTTGTGATGATCCCGTGTAGTCCGATTCGGTTGGCTCCTTCTGCGTCATATACTAGGGCCGTGACCAGGTCCGTGGCTGATCAGGTTGGGACCGCTCCGGCTGTGTCTCTGGGGATCAGTTCGGCGTTGAGGGCAATTGCGGTCATTCTTCTGGCGACCAGCCGTTCGATGCCTTTGCCTATCGTGGATAGGAGGGCGATGGGTCTTCAGCCTTTGTAGCTGTGTGGGTCCCTTCCTAGCTTCAAGAGTGTGACCACCTGGGCTCTTTTGAACGCGACGTGGAACTTTCCCAGTGCGAGGGTGGCGTATGTGATTGCGCGGATGGTGGGAAGGATCGGTTCCCAGGCGTCCTTGAGGATAGTTAGCGTGATGCCGTCTGGGCCTGGGGTGTTGGAGCCGCATCTGAGGAAGGCTTCGCGGATTTCGTCGTCCGAGGGTGTGTCCAGTATCCATTGTGCTATATCCGATGGGAGTGTTGGTCCTTGGTGTTGGTATGTTGGGAGAGGCTCTTCCCTTGCTGGTCGGAAAGCTGCATTGGCCAAGTATGTCGCGATGTCTTCTGGGTCCGTCAGTTTCCCATCTTGTGTGTTGATTAGGGTGGGTCTGTCGTCCAATGAGTCCTTCCTCCATAGCAGTATGTTGCCTAGTTTCTTGGGGGACTTTGCCGAGTCTCTTCTTTCGCGGTAGAAGTTGGTTCGAGTTTCTTTGCAGGCTTTGCGGTAGACCGTTGGGTTCCCGTCTCTTGCCTCTGCTAGGTGTTCATTCCACCATAACATACTCTTTGGTTTCCCTCCGAGCGTGATAGAATGTTCTTTGATCGTGCCCTCGAACGTATCCGTGATGGACCATGCAAGTTCTTCGAGGTCTTCTGGGGTTTGTGGGGTCTGGGTGGTCTTCGGAAGTCTTTGCACCAGTGCCTGGTACGCTTCCTCCCCGTGTGTAGGTGGGAGGATATGTTTCTTCTGAGTGGGAAGGGTCTTGTTGGCCGGGATTGTGATGACAAGTTTGCGGTGGTCCGAGACCCATGCGCCTACTCTCATGTATGCCCTCTCTGTGCCGAACGCGAGGTCCAGGGTAGAGTGGCCGTTCGCGTACCTGTGGGTGGGTATGTCTGGTGTATTGAGGAGGTTGAGGCCCCATGATGCCATAAGTTCTTCGATTTCGTCGCCTCTTCCCGAGTTCCGGAATTGGGGGTGCCATGATGAGTGGTGTGCGTTGAAGTCCCCTACTATGAGAGCGTGTTGTATCTGGAGTGTCAGCAGGTAATCTCTAGCCGATTCCGCTTGTCTGTCTTGTTGGTGCCAGTATACACACGTGATGTTGGCGCCATTCACCGACGCTGTAGTGGTGTGTGTTTGTGGGGTGAGTGGCACTAAGAAATCGTGTGTTTTGGCGATGTATATTTGCCGTTCTTGTTTCTCGGTCATCGCGGCCGATTGCGTGGTAGCCGGTGTGTCTGCGGATTTTGCCTTGGGTTATGGCTGGTTCTTGTACGCACATCATCAGGGTCCGGCTGGTGATTGCCCATTCGAGGATGCCGTCAGTATTCGCTGGGGACTTCTGGACGTTAACGGATGTAACCCTAAGCCCTTCTATCGTTGGGATAGGAGGTCGGGGCTTGTTTCTCTATCGCCCTGTTTACCTTCAAGAGGTGGAGGGGTGTCTTGTTTGCTCTCTGTGGGAGGGGGAGGGCGTATGTTGAGGGTCCTGGAAACGGTGAGGGGTGTATTGAGTGTGACCAGGAAGCGGCCTCCGGGTATGCTGTTCCAGATCTCAGAGGGCCGTCTGTCCTCTCCGCGGCCCATGGACTTTGCTCGGCCGTGTGGTTGGTTGAAGGTGAAAGGTTTAGTGTCCGTTGTGCCTCCTGATTCTTCCTGTATTTGAAAACCACGTCTGGCGTTCTTGCGTCAGGCTTTGGCCTTGCTGTTCGAGCTGAGGAGGAGTCCCTGGGGTCTGGCCGGGCGGGGGTGGGGCTTCCGGGGCATTTTCCGGGGGTGGGAGAGAATCCTCCAGCGTCGTATCTCCGTCGCCGTCGATTGTAAATGCCGTATTTATTGGGCTATTCTCCCTCGCGGGGTTTCCCTCCGGCGTTTCTCCGTCTGACTTCTCTTGGTTCGTCATTCTGATCGCGTTGCTCCTAGTGAGTCCGCTCGTTTCTTTTTCTTTCTTCAGATCCCTCACTGCGTTCCTGTATGCGGCTTTTCCAGTCTTCGGGGCTTCTGCCCGTTGTTCGGCGGTGGGTTTTTTTGACGTGGCTGTCTTTCACCTTCGGGAAGACGGGGCAGTCGACGTGTCCAGGTTTTTCGGGGCCCAGGCAGTTGGGGTACTGGGGAACGGGTTTGCACGTGTCCCTGTGCGAGGTCTTTGGTGTGCCGCAATCTCTACAGACCGAGGCAAAGGTGCACTTGGCTGTGTTGTGGGGGCCTAGACACCTGTCGCATGTGTGTACGCGGGGGTTCCGTTCCATCAGCCGGGCCGGTTCCGAGCCGAAGATGCGAAAGGGTTGTGTTTTCTCGTTGAGGATCACGATGTAATCCCTAGCTTTTCTCCTCTTGATGATCTTGGCAGCTTGCTTCGTAGCGGCCTGGATTTCTCGGGCAATGAGAGGTTCCGTGTCCCAGGCGTCGTTGTGGGCAAAGAACTTGAGTGGTTCGCCGGCCAGGAGTGACAGAGTGAATAGCAGGTCACTTCCGTTCCCGCTCGTCATGTCATCACAGCCAAAGGTTTACGACGTGACGGGCGGCTTGAAGCAATCAGTAAAATTACACCTGGCTACTTTACGACGTTGACTTGATACACTATTAAAATTGTACACACTTACTCACACGCGTTGCTACCAACAAAGCAACTCCCCTCGGTATCCAAACATACAACCATACAAACCGCCTCCTTCATCCACCTAGTAAATACCAGGCACAATCTTCCACCTCACAATCTTCTTGTACTTCTCCCAGTCCTCGCCATACTTCTTGGAGCACTTCTCGTCATCTCGGAGATCGCGGTGGACCAACAGAACGGCAAAGTACAGGATGTAGAAGTAGGTGAAAATGATACCCCAACCCCTGGCCTCGCCCTGAACAACCTCGCGCCCGTCCAACATAGTGATGGCACCAGGAGCCCCGCTGCCAGCGCTCAAGATCTGGTAGCCAGCGATACCAGTAGGGAGAGAGTAAGGCCAGCTCTGCAGCCAATCGCCGAAATAGTTGATATGGCGAGCGATGCCCCACCATCCAGAGGTAATGAGACGAGAACCGGTCTTGGTCTGGAGGTAGGTCAGGTGCTTAACACTGGGGTCCTCGGGGTTCCTGCGGAAGTTGTTCTTCTGGGAGTTGGACAGGCGGAAGATGCTGTAACCAGCGGCCAGAACAGTGCCGACAGCAATCAGACCCAAAGCGCCAAGCTGTTGAGGATGAGTGGCCAGGTAACGGGTCTGCGTCGAGTACATGAAAGGCACCCAAACCACATCACCGAAGCTCAACATGAACCCAAAGCCGTCCGTGGTGATGTCCATGGTCGTCAGAACGGCAGGCTCCATGTAGATACCATCGAAGACATAGAAGGCCTGGATGGCGGTGATGAAGATGATCGAATCCGTGACGTAGCCGAACTGGCGGTATTGCTTGGCGATGAAGGCGCAGTTGAGAATGATCCATCCAAGAAGGCCGGGGCGCATCTCCATAAACTCCTTGATATCGACCTCGCCGATGAGGGGCAGGGTGATGCGAGGGTTAAGCTCGCGGCCGATGTAGAAGTCGTAGATAAGGGAGCCGGTGGTGCCACCTGCGGCCAGCTCGCGCATGTCCTTGTTACCAGGCTTGACGTCAAAGCTGCGGACGTAGACGAAGATGGCGAGCGCCGAGGCAAAGAGGATGTTGGCGCTGATGATTTGCGCAAAGTTGTCGGAGATGAAAGTCCAGACAGGGAACTCGGCGCCCTGAGCGATGGTGCCAGCAGCGAGGATGGCCAAGGTGCACATGGCCGAGTTGAATGCGTTCAGCTTGTACTTGAGCTTGCCGCCGGTGCTCAGCTCGGTTCCCTCGACGTGGTGACCGGGGAGGATGCGGTATTGGACGAGCGAGAGGGCGTAGTAGGCCAAAGTCCAGAGGGTGGCGGACCACGAGAAGAGGCCGAAGACGCCATTTTCAGGCCAGCCGATTTCGCGCTTGAGCTGTTCGAGGTCGAGAGACTTGGGGTGGAGGAGCGAGGGCGCTGGGCAGCCCGAGATATCGTTGCAGAAAAGGTTGAAGACGTGGACGAGAATGGGAAGGCCAAAGGTGATGGCGAAGGCACCGATACTGTTGTAAAGCTCATTGTTAGCTGGGCGCGTCCTGGACATCGTTGTCGCCAAGTGGTGATGGTGATAGGGGTTCATCAGGGGTTTTCCATTGTTTTAGTTACTTACGGGCCGCCAAACTCGTAGTGCTGCTGGCGAGGCGCAACCGCCTTTTGCGCGGCGACTTGCTTCTGTTTCCCGGCCATGTTGATGCCCGATGGCTAACTAGGTGTGCTGCTGTGAGAGACAACAAGACGAAAACGGGGAGAGGATGAAGCTGCCTTTTTGAAGGGTTCAGCTCTGGATGGTGTCGTGAGCCGCTGCGGCCGCCAGAAGCAACGGTGCTGGACCACTGCAGTGACAGTGACGAAAGGAAAGGAGCTTGGGCCAATTGACTGCTCCAATTGCTGGCAAGTGGACATACCTTAATCGTGCCAGACGGGTCGCTGCTTTCCGGGCGGACTCTCCAGTCTTGGGCTCCTTGGCGGTTATGTACTTGGTATGTGCTCGAAGTACCTTTTCACCTATTGTCTTCGAATTGGTACTTTGTCTTACAATGGTCATATTCTCGATTTCAGTCCTATTTTCAATGGGGACTTTAATCGGGGCTCTAACTATCTGAGAGACGAGAAGCGATACGCTTCCCGTAGGTGACTTGGTACCTTCCGTCCTCTTCAAACCCAATACTCTGTCTGTCTGTTTAACCATTAAAGTACCTTGGCGAATTCCATCTTGAGTGTGGATGTACCCCTGATCTGCCCGGTCCAAAATGGACCAATCATGCAAGAGCGTGGTCCCTGCTGGCCACTCAAAGACAGGGCAGCCTTTCCTCGATGCGGTTAACATCATGGTCAGTGACAGATTTCCAACTTGTTCCACTGACGACACTGCAGCCGCTGAAGTGGAAGCCAGGCACCAACCAACCAACCTTACCAATTCTCAGACTGGAGTTCATCATCATTGTCCATTTCTTCCACTTTACCACGCGGGATTGATCTACACTCTTTCGATATCAACACCTGTCCTCGACATCACATCTTCGACCCCGCGACTTGATCAGCAGCCAGCATCAGCAATCCGCGTCAGATCCAATCCTCGTCAGATCCAATCCTCGTCAGATCCCATTCCCCCCCAACCAACAGCACATAGTATTATGCAATAACCCCTCCTCCTGACGCCGCTGTCACCAGTCACAACCACAACCATACCACCGAGCGCCACCGAGCACCTTGTCGATATCCATACTCCGATCTGGTTCCATCACCAATTCCTCACAATGCATCCCCCAAGTCCCAGTCGGCTATTATCCGGCCTAGTCGCCCTCTGCGCCCTGACTAGTGCTGCCCACGCCTCCGATGACGAATCCTCCTCCCCGTCGCCCTCTTCGTCAACAACAACTACAACCTCCACCGTAACACCCTGCGTTGCCACCTCTACCAACGGCGCCTTCTACGATCTCCGTCCCGACACCGCCGTCATCCCCGAAAAGGACGTCAAGCTTGCCCGGGGCACACACACCGAAGACTACCTTGCCCGCGGATACGACTACGGATACAACATCACGCTAAACATATGTGCCCCTGTGGTAAAGGGCGTCGAGGATGTCGTGGGCCTAACGAGCGAGGGATGGAGCAAAATAGGCGCGTGGTATGAGAAGGGCGGGAAGGTGTACAGTCTCGGACAAGAATCGGGTGCTCTGACGCCCAGGGGGAGAAAGCTGGTTTTGCAGTATACCGGAGGGTCGCCGTGTGAACCACCTGAGGACAAGGACGACAAGCGGAAGCTCGCAAGCCGTGGTGTTCACGAGGGCGCTGCCTACAGCAAATATTCCGACGACGAAGACGAAGATCGTGACCATGACCAGACCGATTCCGACTCCGACAAGGACAAGCAGAACAGCAACGCATCCAAAGAGAAGGTCCGCCGCAAGTCCGCAACCATCTCTTTCCTCTGCGACCGCTCCCCCGACAACCCGACCGCCGTCTCCTTTGTCGGCACCGACCCAGACGAATGCTCCTACTTTTTCGAGGTCCGCTCGCAACACGCCTGTGCCGGCGCCGAGCCTCACAAACCCGGTTCTGTTGGACCCGGGGGAGTCTTTGCCATCATCTTCTTCATCGCCCTGGCCGTGTACGTCATTGGTGGCATCTTCTACCAACGCACTGTGGTCAAGCAGAGGGGATGGAGACAGCTGCCCAACTACACTCTTTGGGCCGGTATCTGGAGTTTTCTCAAGGTATGGAGTGTTATTTCCTCTTGGTTCGCTTCTCTGGGCGGGATGCGGGATCGGAAAGCCATGGGCATGGTTTAGTATGCAGAACGATCAAGTATCATGGCGTGAGAATTGGTGAGGGAGCAGAAGCTGCCTTGGTTGATATCGTTTATGGGGCGACCATGCTAACTGTCGATTGCACAGGACACCTTCATCATCCTCACTTCGTCTTGCGCTCGCTTCCTTCCCATTCGTCGCGGCTACCGGTCGTTGAGCTCGTCGTCTCGTGGCCGATACGGAAACAACGACGACGAGAACCGGTTGATCGATCAGCTGGATGAGGAGTGGGACGACTGATCTCCACCTCATCCTCGTTTGGGATAGGTATGCTTGGGGTTCCTTTCTTCTTTTCTTGCCTTTTGGAGTTTTTGTTCTTCTAAAGACTTTTCTTCTTCCCGAGGCAGGTCCTCCCTTGTCTGACCTGTCTGCTGTATTTATCCACAACAATATTGGGCCGGCGTTCGGTGTCCGGTGATGTTGGGAAACTCAAAAGCCCTCGGGCCTCGAGACACAGCGGGTAGTTCTTGGTTATAGACTTTTGTATATCTTTTACATCCCAACCCTCACTGCATTGTCCCGTGTCCAGTAATCCGGCTTCTTGTACCGGAAGCGTAAACTAGACCTAGTGCGGGCTTTCTTCCCTTTTTATGTTACCACAGTGCTACTCATCTCGACGCATCCGGCTACCCATACACCCATGCTGCTAGGCGCATTGAAGATCTCGGATCGCAAGCCTGCCATTCCGCTAGAACACTACAGGTAATGTTTCTGGGAAGCATAATCCTGTTTTCTGTTTCATATTGCGTTGACAGAATGTTCAGGACAGAAGGGATAGTCAGGGGCTGAGGTGGTATTGAAGCCTACTCCAGAACCTAACACTTTACCACAACGGAAACTATCCTTCCAACAACGACCGCGAACCAGACATATATCACTCTTCACCATCTCCCAGTATATACGGATCTGGATAACACGGTATGAGTGCTGGAGTTCTCCACGTCTACAGTTACCAAATTCCACCTCTACGATCGCCTTGTCAGTATCGAAAAATCACGGTTAAATGCCACTTTCGATGCTTGACAGCCACCGACCGACTACTCCCAAATTGTCAACGGCACACCATCTGCCGCTTCCCGGTTTTTGGGACCGTGGCTTACCATCCCCAGACACTCCCCCACGGCACTGTCACTCCGTCTTGCCGAATTCACGATGCCAAGTAGATTAACCGCTCCATTCAACTCCAGTCACGTTTATCCAAGTCCACCAATCCACCAGTCGTCTTCCCGAAACTTCGTCAGCAAAGACTGAAACAGCACCGCACCGCGTTCCCGGTCAAGCCTCTCTACGTTCCATTTGTGTGGGGTTACGCCACCTACAGCAGTGTTCAGACGTCACGAGGCCCCCTGCTTGCCGCTCCGAAGAGGAGGAGGATGGATGCCCAGAGCAAGATCATGGAAATGACAGGATGAGTGCTCGATTCGGGTGGGACTTGGGTTCATGCTCTGGGGTTATGAACCGGTTTGACGGACTGACAGTGTCGTATCGCCGATCCAGTCCATGCTCAACATCAAAACTCCTGGCTCTGGCGGATATAAAGCACGACGACACCCACAGCCCATTCCATTTCCTTCCATCTTTCTGATCCTGCAAGACACTCTCTACGTCTCAACCATACGCCATCCCAAAATGCGGTCTACTCTCATCACCGGCCTCATCGCCGGCCTGCTTTCCCAGCAAGCCGCTGCCCACGCCATTTTCCAGGCCCTCTGGGTCGACGGCGCCGACTATGGCTCGCAATGCGCTCGTGTTCCTCCTTCTAACTCTCCTGTCACAGATGTGAGCAGCAATGCTGTGAGGTGTAACGCTGGCACTTCGCCAGTTGCGAAGAAGTGCCCTGTCAAGGCTGGCAGCACCGTTACTGTTGAGATGCATCAGGTTTGTTATCCTTCTCTTCCCTCGGAGACCATCATTGTCATCCCCTAGGGACCATAATGTCAGCGAAGCTCACGACTTCTTCCTTACTTCTCACCTTTACCCTCACACCTTGCATCCCGCTTCTCTCCCATACGCAAGCTAACACACCGCAGCAACCTAACGACCGGTCTTGCGGCTCCGAAGCCATCGGCGGTGCTCACTACGGCCCCGTCCTCGTCTACATGTCCAAGGTCTCCGACGCCGCCTCCGCCGACGGTTCCTCCGGCTGGTTCAAGATCTTCGAAGACACCTGGGCCAAGAACCCCTCCGGCGCCTCCGGCGACGACGACTTCTGGGGCGTCAAGGATCTCAACAGCTGCTGCGGCAAGATGCAAGTCAAGATCCCCTCCGACGTCCCCGCCGGCGACTATCTCCTTCGCGCGGAAGTTATCGCTCTTCACACCGCTGGCAGCGCGGGTGGTGCCCAGCTGTACATGACCTGCTACCAGATCTCTGTTTCCGGCGGTGGTTCCGCTAGCCCAGCGACTGTCAGCTTCCCTGGTGCCTACAAGTCCTCTGATGCTGGTATCCTCGTCAACATCCACGCTGCTATGAGCAACTACGTCGCCCCCGGACCGGCTGTGTACTCGGGCGGTAGCTCCAAGAAGGCCGGCAGCGCCTGCGTTGGCTGCGAGTCTACTTGCAAGGTTGGCTCCGGACCTACTGGCACTGCTTCTGCTGCTCCTGTTGCGAGCGCCACGACGGCTCCTGGTGGTGGCAGCGGTGGTGGAAGCGGTGGATGCAGCGTCGCTAAGTACCAGCAGTGTGGCGGTACTGGCTACACGGGATGCACGACTTGCGCTGTAAGTTCTTCCTGGGGTTTGATGGGTGGTGAGAGGGATAAGGGATGACTTGCTAACTTAATGGTATCTAGTCCGGCTCTACCTGCAGCGCTGTCTCGCCTCCTTACTACTCCCAGTGTGTCTAAGCAACTCCGTCAGGGATTACATACATGGTCGGGGTCCTTTAATGTTAGCAGGGGTGATCAAAGGTCGAGGAAGGGGAACGTGGAGGTTCACCCGCCTTGCAACAAAAGAATTCGCTGTACATAATTTATCTCTGTCTTGGTCTTGGTCTCGGCCTCTTGGTGGCCGGGTCGTGGCTGAGGCGGTAAATATCCTGAATGAAAGTCGTTGAGACTAGTCGCTAGCTTTCGCGGTATTGATGTGCGTCCACACTGTTGGTGAGGATGGAGTGCATATGCTGAATGAGGACAGCTTGTGATGTCGTTTGAAGGCCGGTCTTGAGGCGAGAATGGGTTATTTCGTGGCAAAAAGGTACGTGTCTTCACACAATATTGACACAGTCACAGTCATAACGTGTCCATGATTCGGATTTTTGGGTTGGATGGACTTGGATTTGCATCACGTCTTCTTCCTTCTTAATGTTCCTTCTTACTATCCCCTCTCGCTCTTCCTTCTTGCTCTTCCTTCTTGCTGTTCCTTCTCCTGTTGCTCCCTTCCCTTTCCTTTCCTCATTCCCTCATTGCAACCACATCATTGGTCAAGTCCCTTCCCATCTTCCCACCTTTCTATCTCCCCATCTCCCCATCTTCACATCCCAACTCTCCCCCTCTCTTCCCTCGCCCTTCCAGCTCTACCGATGGTAATACTACCGATCACTACTCCTCTCTCCCACCGCCTGACACGTCGGACAGTACTCATCACTAGTCCTCCCGTCGAGATACTGGTCATAAGTCCAATCAGACCGGATACAGCGCTCGGCGCGCTCGAAGTATCCTTCGCCGGGATAGAGGCCGCCGTTGCAGCTCTTGTAGCCCCTGTTTGAGCGGCATTGTTCGCCATTGAGGCAGTATTTGTAGGTGTAGCCGAAGCGACACATTTTGTGATTGGATTGGTGGTTTGGTGATTGGAGGTAAGTCTTGGCTTTGCTTGCTTGCGTTCTTGCTTTTTCGGTTTGGGGTGAGGAAGCAAAATCTGTATTGTTTTGGCGAGAGTTAGGCAGGAGTTTAAATAGTTCTGGGATGTCAAGTTTGCGTTTTGGATCGTGAGATCGTTCGGTCTGCGGGTGTGGTGATGAAGCATCTCATGGGGTGGGTGAAGGGTCCCCGCTGCGTTGGACCAAAACAGGGTGGTAGAAGGAAGTTCATCCTGTGTTAACCAGGTATGAGGTATTTCGTTCATCCAGATACTTCTGCAAAGCTTCAATACCTAGCTTCTGAGCACCGTCACGGGGTTGGAGGCCGCCAGATCTCCTACAAACTGCTGGGACAGATTCGATGATGTTTGGATCCTGATGGACGAAAGGTAAAATGTTTGATTGTGAATCATCGCTAGCATACCTCTAGGCACAAGTCGAAACAAGTAGAATGCCGGTTTCTGTTCACTTCAACCTCATCTCACTTCCGTACGATTCACTAGGACTTCTTCTCCACATCAGCAGATTGCCAGGGGCAGTGAGACAGACTCGAAATCGGATGACAATGCGATTTGACGTCCAGAATACCTTTAATGCTACAACTAATTGCACAAGCCTTTCACACCGCTTACTTCGATAGAGGTATCATGCCGCAGAATGCGCAGACGTAACCATAAATCCAACGAAAATTGATGACGAAAGCTCACCGACGCTGGTAACAGTTGTAGGGGATGTAAGAAAGAACAGCATAGAGACTACAACTAGGATCTTCACACATGAGGGAAGCTGAAGTTGTCAACACGCGTCTCTTTCAAATTGTTGCTAGTACCCTATGCCTTGAGTATGAGGAGGCTTCTTATTCTATGATCTTCCGTTAATGTCTTCCCCACAATTTTCCCTTATGTTTTCCCTTCAAGTCTTCCCACTGGTCTTCCAGTCCTTTTCCCAGCTTCTTTCCCATATCTATCTTCTCTTCCGCCCCTGCTACAGTGCTCGAGTGCCCGTCTAGTACTCGATGTGGTGTCTTCTACTGCGCCTGGAATTGGCGTTGGCCTCGCACTGAGGGCACATCCTGTCGCTCTCGTTGGTGTCGCCGTCGACGTACTTCTGGCCGGAGCAACCACGGTAGCGGAGACTAGAACATTCATGCCTGAGCGTGGCCTCACGCTCGTACGGTCTGATGTAGGTCTCGCCGCGGCGGTTGACCCAGCCGTAGCCGGAGGTGCAGTTGGCTCCTTTGGAGCAGAAGTGGAATTTGTACTAGATTTGACACATCTTGACTGTCAAGTTTCTGGTCAGTTGCATATGGGTTGTTAGTTGCCTGTGTGTTCTGTGTCTCTGGTCTTGGGAGTGTCTTTTCTTTACCTGTGTGCTTGGATGTAGTAAGTAGTTTGAGTCTTTTCGCTTGGGTCAGTCTTCTGGCTTCACACTGGGCTTGTTGTTTGGGTTGGAGGGAAAGATTTGACGAGGGCACGAATTACGGTTGTTAAATACTTTTCGATCTACCAAACCCCTCCTTGGGCGTCGTGGATGGTTGAGATGTTATTGTCGGGAGCGAATACATACTCACGGGTCTCCGTGAAGAGTTGATAATGCAAAGAGATCAAAGTTCTTGAAGGTGAAGAGTCTTTTGGCATGACGTACCTGAGCCTGAGGCCAGATGAACGACAACCTTTTGAGTCCATTCACCACCAGAAAGTGGCATTGAAGCGCCTCAGTATAGTATAGGAGCCCAGGTTGTAAGATAGGCGGAAGAACCTTATCGGAGAATCGGATGAAAGCGCCTACATGGAAGTCAATGAAGATGTCGCCTCTGGAAGAGATCTGTTTACTAAATTTCGAGGGAGTGGCCACTGCCACAAACCAACATTTCATCTTATCACCGTCCCAGTCCCATTATTGGAGATACTACACCTATGGAAAGCAGAGGAGAAGGGAAAAAAACTGTGAATGGGGCTACAAGTGAAAGTCGGCGATATGGTACCGGCGTAAAAGAGAAAAATAAGCATCATCTTATCTTTCTTGCTGTATATAACGGTGACCGAGTCCATGAAGACGTTGTAATTCGCCGTGAGGACTGAATGAAAGCGGAGTGTCTCGCTACCATGATGCATCGAAGTCTCCGGTTAATCCTTTAATCCAGTTCGCCGTAAAGACACGGATGCAAACACAATTACTAGACTTACCCAGGAACGCAAGCATCCAGTCTCTATAGGGGTTTCTTAGTAGCAGATTTGAGGAGTAACTTGGCTCCTATCGAGTCAAATTGACGGAAAATTCTCGCCCAGCAACTCACCATGCCTCACTTTCATTTCACTTGCTTTAACGGATGTTCAATTGGAGGACCCGATGGAGTCTCAACTTTGGCTCTTTTGAGTAGGTAATGTCTCATTGCCTAAAAGATCCCTAGGTACCTAAGAACTTTATACCTCAACCTTCTTCTCCATCTGCCTGAACATCATCATGGGATCAAAGAACACTTCCACCTTCTGCAGCTGCAACTTGTTATTCACAACCGCAACCGCAATTCCCTCAATATCAATTGGTCCACCATGTGCCTTGAGCGTCACTTTCTCTCCATCCCTGTGTTGGTCATCGTGTCAGCTTCACTTTCCCTTTCCCCTAAGCTCCAACTTCACCAGGTTTACTCACTTATTAGTTCCCACATAATCCTCCTTCATCGTCCCCCAATGCCTCCACCTGAAAGTCACTGTCGGTGGTCCACTGAAAACCTCCAAGACCTCCCATGCAAAGGTCGGCATCATCCGTTTGAACGTCTTATGACTGGCGTCGAAGCTCGAGTGGAATGGGCAGTAGAACTCGTTCGGTTCGATGATGGCGTTGTAGGTGCCGACTTGGAGCATGTGCTCCCCGGATTGCGGTGGACCGCCGTTGACGGAGAAGGTGTAGGAGGAGACATCGATTGTGCGCCAGTCTGAGAGCGAGGTCTTGTATGATGCTTCAATCTCCCAGTTCTTGACGAGCTTTTCGACGAGGTCGGGAAGGGAGCCGGCAGTGTGGGAAGCCTTCTTTGCTGTGTGGTTGTCAATGTTTGCCGAGAGTAAGGGGGGATAGACAGTAAAAGGGGTGGACAAACTCTCGGCATAGACCTTGCGGGTTCTGCTGTAATCTGGGGCTCGGCCGTGTCTCCAGGAGTCAATGACGTCCTTCAAGACGGCATTCTCGTCAAGGACGTAGTCGGGGAGAGCCGGGGCAGGCTCTGGGGCAGGTGCCCCGTCAACCGGCGCGGCTTGGCTTTGTATCTCTTCTGCCGTCATTGTGTGATTTCGGAGCTGGGTGAAGGTTAAGTGAGCGAAACGTCAAGATTACCCCCGTCCGACGAAGCTCGAGGGCGGGACATAAAGCTTTAAAGCACATTCTGAATCGAAGGTCTTTGCCCTCGCCGCAGAGTTGCATGAGTTCTCAACACAGAAGGTACGTAGCTGATAGATTCCACTCACCACGTACCTGAGCCAACAAACGTATTCGCCCCTCAACCATCGAACGATATACCCTGGTCGGTCCCTGGACGACGTTCCATCAAGATGGAGTTACATCGGATCTAAGGATTCGCCTGATTCTGGGCCATGCGCTTGTGTCCTTCTCCTTCCTTACAGGGTTGGTCAGTTACCTGGTCTAGATGAGCGGTGCAACCCGCCATGATCTGCTCAAGGGTCTCGCGTAATCCATCTGTCCGATCTCGCACGTGAACCCTTGAGAGCGAGTGCATGCAAACATGTGGCAATGGACGCTTTGCTCACAACCGTCGCCTTTGGACTTGCCGAAGAACCCAGTGGGAGGGTGTCCGATAACGGTCGACATGAATAAGATCGAATGCCAATATTGGATTCTGCGAGGTCCGTGCAGAAAAGTGCATGGGGGTATCGGAAGAGATGTTGTGTTCATGCTGTGCCTGGGACAGACATTCGTCTCGACGAATGAGATGAAGGGTGGTTGGCCGAAGGATTACCCAAGACATGCCGTGAAACACGAAAGAAAGATTCTGGGGCAAAGTCCGGACGAAGCACATGCTTACAAAATGTTGAAATGTTCTCACCTCGGAGCTTGAAGAAGGAGCGGCAGATGTGCATTGTCATTGACGTCTTGTGCAGCGCGCCAGTGCGCCGCACAGCACGAGCCACCCCCTGGAGCGCCACATCTCAAATGCCGGCCACGCTTCGTGAGATAACTTCCGTCCTTATGCTCTCACCCTTTGATGGAACTTTCTTGCCCAAGGAGAAAATGGAGTGCAAGGCAGGCAATAACGACTCAATCCCAAGCGACAGTAAATAGTATGCTTTCCCGGGGCCCTGTGTGAACTTGCGCAGTCACAGACGGGAAGAACACTTGATGACCCGTGCGCCAGTGAACCATTGAGGGATGGCGATAAACGGGCAAGATCAAGAAGCACCAACTTTGCGCCAGTACAACATGAAGACAGGAACCTTCCGGGCCTCGGATGTGTAAATTGGTCAATGCTCACTCTGATGTGCGCGTAGTGTGGTACAAATGGTGGCCAAACGCCAAAATCGCCAAACACTTTCCTCCACATTAGGGTGACTCCTGTCATGAGTTTCAATCTTTACATCTCGTAGTATCGGATTTGCTCTGCTACCTGAAGTCCCATATGGAGTCGTCAGATATGCGAGCAATCTTCGTAAGGGAAGAGCATAGGATGGTCTCTGATGGTGCCACCACGAGATACTCTTATATCTTCAACAGCCCTTCCTTCCAACTCTAGCCACGAGGAAACCAGTCAACCCTCAAGCCACCATCTGCGGCAGCGCCCGAAGAATAACCAGTGCTCCAAGTCGCACACACGCCCGCACCTCCCAGGTCCTGATCCTGGCAGAGCCCAACACTCGGCCACGACTGCATGTGAATATTCCAGTTGGAGCAGCCATCAGAAGCTGATCCACCACGTTTCTCATACCTGACATCTGAGTCACAGCCGTACATGGGCGCCCTGAATCTCTGCATGCACAGGTTTCTGTCAAGTGCCACGGTGCAACCTGCCTTGGAAACGACGCTGGTAATGACTGCGGTGCCGTTGTAGGGCCAGTAGGCGGCAGCAATGGAGTTCTCCCCGTGCATCATCTTGTCAGAAACATGGCCGCCGAAAGTTCCGTCGTGACCACCCTGGCAGAAGTACTCAATGGCACGCCACGAAGCTTTCTCGTCTGCCCACCAGGTTTCGTTATTGCAGCTGACAGCGATGGCGGTGGGATTAGGGAGTGCGGAGCTGGTTGCAATGCTGAGTGTAGTAGCAGGGGCGGGGGCAACAGGCTTTACCAACTCGGTCGTGACAACGGTAGTGACAGCGGTTGTGACCGCGGTTCCCTCGACAAGGATGGTAGTCGTATCAACCCCAACCGCCAGGAATGTAGTTGTCTCCTTCGCAAGACCGGCAACAGTATTGGCAGCCGTACCTCTGCCTCCGCCATCATGTCCAGGGGCAGAGATACCAACACCGGCTTTAACCAACTTGCCTGCCCAACTATTCCAGTTGAGCGTCTGCCCCCTCAGACTGGTCTTCAACCAACAGTTGGGCTTCAACGGGATGCCTGCAATGTAGCTGAAGGCGAGACAGTAGTCATACTCTGCACACCACTTTGCGCACTCCTCCCAATTGTGCCTCATGCCCTCGTTGAAGTTCCAGTTGGCCGCTAGGTCATAGTAGTCGATACCACATTCGACTTGGTATACATTGTTCGTGACATGGTCGGTCCAGAGGGTGTTGTTGTCGCGAGGGCAAAAAACGGGGATGGCTGAGGCCGAGGGCGAGACGGTAATGACCGAGAAGGTGCTGGAAGGAATCGGGGAGACGGGCCAGGGATGGTGAGGGTGCTGCCGCCTTTGGTGTCGCTGACGGTGACAATGGTCGGGTTGAGAGGACCGGTGTCGGTGGGACGAGCAACGGAGGGGAGAGCCGTGACTAGAAGTGGAAGTGATTAGCGGGCGCTCATTACTGATCATGGGGAGGGACTCAGAACCGAGGAATTACTCACCAGCAGCAGAGGGTTGAACCGCAGCAACAACAAGTCCAGCGGCATGGACTCCGAGGCAGCTGCCAAAGGCAATCAAGCCCGCAAAAATGTGAAAGCGCATCGTGATGGCGGGCGTTGACTCTTGACGCGTGTCGATTTAGAATTTGAAGAAAAGAACAAGTGGACGCCGTCGACGACCGGCCTGTGGGTAACGAGCGTGAAGATAGGTAACGACCGTGGGCCCAAAGACCGTTGAAGGAGAGAAAGGTGAACTTGATTGACCGCGACCTTGCTCTCTTGTGGAAGTTGAGAACAAAGGTTGGAGTTGGGAGAACCAAGGTCGTGGAAGAAAATGAGAGGCCCGGGGCAGCGCGTTGGTCCGAGAAAGTGACTGCGGGGCGAGGAGGTGGAAGCGACAAACGCGTCTTGCAGTTACCTCGAGCGGATGTTGGTGTGCAATCTCGGGTCCGAAGAACGGGCCATCTGGTCCGATAACGAGTACTTGATGATGGGAGGAAGGAGCGTCAGAAAAAGACAAGCAAATGACTTGACCCCACCTGCCCTCGAAAGTGTGAAAGACTGGAAGGTGCGATGATAGCACTCGACTCGGGGTGGGCCGTGCCTCGCGGTTGGCCCTCAAGGTTCTCACAAGGTTCAAACTCGCAAATGGCGGGGTAAGAGTATATCGTGATGGCCTCGAAATGCAAGCTATGTGGAAGTCAACATTGGTCACTTCTGTCACGCGAGCATCAGACGATAGCAGCCCAAAGGGAGTTGTCTACTTCGCATGATATCAGCCACTGGACAGAAGAGACTGGAATTATCTGAGGCAGGCAGGGGGCAGGGGGCAGGGGGCAGACGGCAAACAAGAAGAACGAGTAAGATGGCTAATGATGGTACTCGCGAGAAGAGCAGCAACAGTAATTGATCGTAATATGCAAGACGAACACGAACTTATGGTATTCTCTCACAGGTACACTATTATGGGACAGCCACATCACCGTACCTCCATCCATCTCCCCATTCAAGGAAGAACCTCCTCAAGCTCCAACTTCCTTGAGCTTGACCCAACGAAGACCTTCTTCGGGAAATCAGTAATTACCCAATCCTGATTCTCGGTATCCCACGAGCTCACGTCCCTCCTCGTCAGCACCGCCCTAAACTGCACCTTCTCGCCTGGCTCAACCCTGAGTCTGTCAAAGCCTCTCAACACCACCTTGGGATCCTCCGGCCCTCCGAGGTTGAGGTACAGCTGTGGGACTTCATCACCCGCCAGTTTGCCCGTGTTCGTGATGTCCGCCGTGACGGTGTACATGATGTCATAAAGAGCAGGGTTTCCACCGGGGTGATGATGGCCGGATGAGGGAAGCAATGGCTGCGCCGACCCGTCGTTAGCCTTGGGCGGCAAGAACTCCTCGGCCGTCTTGCCGTAGTCCGCATCACCGCTAGAGGAAGACATGGCGGTGCTGTTGAGGTAGGGGTAGATGAACTGGTAGACGTAGGGGAACTCTTCCGAGGGGAATACGTAGTCTTCCACGTTTTCAGAGAAGTTGCCAAAGGTAGGCGCTTGTTCCGTCTGGCCCGTGGTGGGGGTGTACTCGCCCACTTCGTGCTTCTCGATCTTCAGGTTGCTGTAATTAAAGGTGGTATAGCTCAATCCGTAACCAAACTCGTAAAGAACGGGGGCGTCGGCCTTGTCGAAGTGGCGGTAATCGATGAAGACGCCTTCGGTGTAGTCTTGCTGAGGAGCTTCGTTCCCGTTGTTCGGCTCATAGAGAACATCGGTGCCGTAGCTTTCGCGTGTAGCGCCCCAGGTGAAGGGAGTGCGGCCGGATGGGTTGACTCTTCCGTACAAGACATCGGTAATGGAGTTTCCGTTCTCCTGACCGGGCATGCCGGCCCACAGGATGGCGGTGATGTTGGGGTTGTCATACCATTCCGTGAGCAAGACGGGGCCGGGCGAGTGGATGACGACAATGGTGTTGTTACACCAGCTCGAAACGTTCTTGACCAGCGCGTCACCCTCCTTCCAGAGGGTGAGGTTCAGGCGGTCGCCCTCATTGCCCTCAACGTTGATGTAACCTTCGCCGGCATTGGCGTTGACAAAGACAATGGCAGTAGCGTCCTGCTGGGAAACCAGAGCCTTGATCTCTGTTGGGGCATGGTTCCTCAAGATGCTCTCGTACCGAGATCCATCCTGAACAGCGCGAGCCTGCAGGGCTTGGTCGGGGGTCACCAGGTAAGGGAAGTTACCAGTGCCAGAACCCCAGCCAATGCCCAGGGTACCATTGTTACATCCACGGTCGGGGCATGAGTTCGGTCCAAAGGGGTTTGGTCCAGCGTCTTCGCCAATGATAGCCACGAACTTGGGCTTGTCTAGGGGCAGGGAACCGGTGTTCTTCAACAGCACTGTTCCGCGAGCCGCGATCTCCCTAATAAGGGTGCCGTGGTCGCCCTGAACGTCAACGTGCCAGTTGATTTGCTGGTAATCCTTTCCGGCGGCCCAGTGCAACGGGCCGTACGTGTCAAGGGTCCAGAAGGAAAAGTTGATGGGCTCTTGGTCTTCGACGGTTTGACCGGCCTTGAAGAAAGCAGCCATGATGCGCATGGCCATGTCGTCAATGCGCCACTGTGGGAGGGTTCCGTTGAGGACGGCAAGGGTGAGGTTGGCTCCCCAGTAGCTGCGGCCGCTGTTGAACACGGTGTCTCCGGGCATGCTCATGTCGAGACCGGCAGCAGCGCTCGCGACACCAGTGTGCTGGGCTTGCCAATCGCTCATGACAAAGCCCTGGAATCCGTTCTCCTGCTTGAGCAGGTTGTTGAGGAGCTTCGAGTTCTGGCAGCCGTACGAGTTGTTGGCCTGGGTGTAGACGCACATGACGGAGCCTACACCAGCCCGGATGGCATCAACAAAAGGCCAGAGGTACAATTCGTGCATGGTCTTGTCATCGATGTTGGAGGATAGAGTCTCGGAGATGTTGTAGCCATAGCCCCGGGCCTCCCCAACCTGTCTGAAATGTTCTTGTTCGTTGCCGACAAAGTGCTTGGCGCAAGCGACGACACCGGCGTCTTGTGTTCCCCTGACGGTCTCAGCCATGGCGATACCGGTAAGGACAGGGTCAGGGGAGAAGCCTTCCCAGTTACGGCCGCCTTCAGGGGCGCGGCCGAGGGGACCAGCAACAGGTCCAAGTAGAACCGTGACTCCCTTTCCCTTGGCTTCTTCGCCCAAAGCATATCCGCGTCTGTACATGAGACCTCGATCGAAGGTAGCGGCGACTGTTACTCCGGCTGGGAAGACTGAGTTGTAATCGGTGCCACGGATGGCCAAAGGGGCATCTTGCATACACATGCTCTTTAGGCCGAGTCGCGGGATAGCGCCGGTCTGGCCTACGCATTGCTCAGCACCCCAACTGTTTATCCATTTGTTAGTATCGTTGTCCTGCATAGGGTGAGGGATGCGCCTGGTGGGTCACGTACCCGATACCGGTTGTCAGGTTGACCTTTTCGAGCAGGGTCAACTGGGAGACAAAGGCCTTTGCCTTTTCGTAGGCATCTTCCCAGCCGATGGCCTTGGAGTCCATCCATGGTGATGGATAATGGGGTTCCGAGTAGGCAAGCGCTCTCTTGTGGAGCTGTGTCGACGGGTCTATGTCAGCAAATGGAAGTGAGGCCCCCAAGACTGTTTGTATAGACAGCCATGGGACGGCGTGTCTGAGATGCATGTCTGGCAGGCACTGTTGGGCCGATCACACAAGATGTGAGATGAAGGGTCAATCTGGATAAAATGGAACGTGCAGATGTTTGGTAGCACTACTATGGGATGCAGCGGTGCTGTGCTATGATGATCCAGCAAGCTGGAAACGGGATCGAGGAAGATCTGGTCAAAGAAATCGAGAAGAATGGGACGGGAAGGTCCGCATGATATATCTCGAAGCTTACCTGGTGATTGAGAGGCTGCACCGGCTCGGGCGTAGCCAGGGCGAGATTGCCGCTCGCCAATAAGGCAAGCGGAATGGCGAACTTCATGGCGCGATGTTGTGGTGTGGACTTTGGAGTGGCTGGAGCTTTGACCCTTCTCTCTGGTGTTTTTGCCGCTCTCACCAGTCACAACACTTGACACTTTTATTCAAAGAGGTCCTTTGTGTGATGGAGCAGTCTGGACACAGCGGGTGTTTGTACGGGAGAAGGCCGATATATACGGACGGATCGACAACATTGACCCCTGGTCATTCCCCCGTCTTTCTGTTGTTCCCGTTTACATGATGTTGTGGATGGGTCTCAGACATGCGGTCGAGTTGTGCACTACGTACACCGAACCTGGATCAACAAGGGGTAGATGCGGTGTTCGGTGTCTGTGGTCATCTTCTTCCCTGGTCCATGTTCTTGACCGTCGTCACTTGTTGGGAGGGTAGGGTTGCCATTTTGGACCTGGAGCGGGCATCGGAGTCGCAGCGGGTGGGCGATGATCTTGATTCCATGCTTGCGGGGAAGAGAGAAAGGTCGCGAGAATCTTGATCCGGTCAACGAGTGCGTCGGCGATTGGCGATTGAGCGGTGGGCAACAGACATTTTCCAGTGCCAAGGGCAGCAGGTGTTGGAAAAAGGGCCGATCAGGCTGGCGATATTAGTCAGGAGGTTGGAAAAAAGTAACGAAGGATGAATTTGGGTCGAAGGAGCCGGAAGCGCGCAAATGGGGGACGGGAACAAAGCATTGACGGCCCATGGCAGAAAATCGCTTTGGAAACTTTGGGTTGAGGTCATCGAATGCATGTGCGACCGCTTCCAGTTGGAGGTCTGGTGCGGGGATGTGGAGAATGTAGGATCGACTGCCGATTCCCGTCATTCCGTCAACCGGGCAAGAGCTCCAAAACTGAGAAGTGCTCCTTCCCTCCTTCCGTGATCCATGAGTTTCGTTTTGACAACCTTGATCAAAATCTCATTTAATGGAAGTCTGAAGTCAATAAACTCCACCATGTTCACACTCAAACTCAAAAGATCTTTTCCGTAGGTAGAGGAACATCATGCCACTGAGCCCAATCTCCTCGAACAAAAAATAAGCTTTGAGGCTTCGATTGAAGCTCCATTTGCTGTGGTGGGACACAAACAAGTGGCTCGTGTCATCCCAGTCATCACCCTGATGGTTCGCTAGGCTAGGCAAAACTTCGGAATCTCTCTCCATTCAATCGGCTTTTGTTCCTTGATGGTGCTGATCTTGAATTGATCTTTCTTCCGGACCTCGAGCGGACATATCGAGTCCCTGCTTTCCAGAACGACAACACGTTGCTGCGCTTTCTGCTTTGCGGGCAGCAACTACACCATGGGGATTCAGAGACGAGAGTGTTTCCTTCCCTTCGCAAATAGGAGATGAAATGTCGCTGATCCGAATGAGCACTTTCTCCGGCAGCAGGCAAATTACTTTGTGTCACCAGTAGGAAGACTGCGGGAGTTCACGAGGCGGACGCTGGGGTGAGATGAGGTGTCGCTTTCTTCATCGCTCACTTTTTCTTGACTACTGTGATATTCTCATATTCATTGGCCCTTCAGCATCCAAACTCGCCGAAAAAGGAAGCTCCTTAACAACACCACTGCCGGTTCTTTGTTGCTTTTGTTTCCATGATGACATCGTCACTGAACCCCAAAGCCACCAGCGTTACCCCACACCAAAGGCCCAATGGGACTTGGCATCCTCGATTTCATTGTTGCATTCCCCGTCCTCATCAAATCCTCCATCCCAAGGAGCCTTCAACAGTTCTTTCTCCTCTTTCCAACACCTTGGGTTGGGATTGGCTCTGGTGGTTACATGCATCGGATGCAACATTCCTGCTGTGATACCTTGGCAATGTTCTCTCGCAACTTTCACGCTGGGCATGTTCGTGAGATTGGGGCTGGCGAGGAAGGTTTCCAGATATGATGAGCATTATGAGTCGCAAGCGTTCTGTTTCAAAGGCTGCGCAAGTGTAGTGGCACTTTGGAGTTTGGATATCGCGTACTTACAATCGCTTCACTCAACAGACCCGAGTGATGATCGAGGTCAGCGGAAGTGGTCAAAAAAGCCAAGTTCACAAATGCTTATTTGAGCAGTCGTCATATTTGAGTAAAACCCCAAAGTCATTGTTTCACAGCACTTTATCGCTGGCAGCACAAATACAAAGCAGAGTGGGACTTGCCGGTGGAGTCGCAGTGGCAAAAAGGCATAAAGAGAAATTGATTGACCCCAACCCGATTTGAACGGATAACCTTTCGATCTGGAGTCGAACGCGCTACCGTTGCGCCATGAGGCCTTGGTTGAAGCAAAAGCATTCGCAATTGACTTACATGGGAATTTCGCAGCATGGCGTTGAAGAGAGCTGGACCTGCTACCGTAACTCCCAAGAGACACTTACATGTATCGGGACAACAAGTTACAGAAACGCAAAGGAAACGTGCCCTGAGGACGAAAAAATGGATACGAAATTTGAAGAACGCGGTGTGTCATAGCTTTCCAAGCCTGTTAACACTTTTGGAATGTTGCTACCTACCTCTAGGCTCCCTAGGTTGTGGTCATTGCTTGCAACCTCAAACATTTGCCCATGGTACGCAAGTCAAGCAGTATGAGTGACCGGAATTCAGGAGGCAACCGACAGTTATCGAGATGAATTGAATGCAAATGCCAGTCTGGAGTGTTTGACAGGAACTCATAATGTCCAGCGATGACGGGTCTGCTTCCCTTTCGTACTTCATCCAATCAGCCCGTCCATTACTTAATACCATAATTTCTGGTGAGGTCTATTTAACTTCAGTCCCCGTCACAATCGACCTCGTCTTCATCCTTTACGCTTCCAAAAACAAAACACCACTTGCCTACACTTGCCTACACCTGCTACTCATTCGCGAGCATCAAGACAAGGCAAAATGTGCCACTGGTACATGGAATACAGGTTCTGCTCCCAAGGCCCTCACTGCATTGGCGGCTTCGGTTGGACCAACGCTTCCAGCGAGCTCTATGTCCGACCTTACGATTCCATTCGCCGCAATCGTCCGTGCGAGAGAAGAGGCGGCTGTGGAGCAGAATCCACGCGTTTGGGGCCGGGGGCCGACATCAAGACAAGTGACTTCTTGTGCCCAGCCTGCAAAGGAGATTTTCCTGGGACGGTGGTGGGAAAGAAGAAGAATGACGAAGATGGCGGGAAGGGAAATGAAAACGGGGATGGGGACAAAATGGAAGTTGATGATGATGCGGAAGAGGTGGGGAGGGCATGGCAGGGGCAGGTGCAAGGCACAGGAGGAAAAGGGGGAAAGGGGAAGGGAAAGAGAGGGATGTCATTGGAGAAGAAGGGCGAGGGAGAAAATGAAGGTGAAGGCAGTGAGAAGGAAAAGCCGAGAGGGGGATGAGGGTGGAGAACAGGAAATAGTTGGGTTACTTGAGGTTCATTGACCACTTGGCCGTTCCTGAAGGTATGAACTGGTTCTCTTTGGGTATGAGGAGGGAGTGCCATGTTGGGTGAAGGTGGTAGACAATATTGTGCGAGTTAAAAGAAGTGGGAAGGAGCCGACGAGTCAACATTACGATCCAATAAAGGATCACTTATATAAGCAGTTAGATAGAGCAATCAGAGCCGCGCCGGGCGCCGGCGCCGTAGACTAACAGCGCCGCGGCCACAGCCACGGGAGCGCCGGGTGGCTGGAAATAGCCTTACCGGCGCAACGGCGCATACTAAAGAACTAATACATAAAGAAAGCCTTCCAAGCTTTCTTAATACTAAGCTCTTCAATAAACAATAGCTATCACAGTTTATTAATACCTTTCCACTACTACTTTTGTCACGGCGCTGGCGGACCACTACATCACTAGGCTATGTTCCAAAAGGATACAAGTAACCGAAGCTGGCAATTCGGTCGCTCAAGTGGTCTTATATAGTTGTGATAGCAGTCGAGAGGCACAACTGCAAGGCTGCCATCACAACTTTATTACTCTATTATTTATATTCTAATAATAACATATCTATATTTGTAACGGTTTGTTATATATTATTTACTTTCCTATTCGTATACTAGTATTTTAGTATTTAATACTACACTTAAAGTCTCCAAATTACTAAATTTCTTTATATCAATTATTAATCTATTACTGTGACGGCTGACACCATCTGAGCTGTCCATGTCTGTTATCAAGGCTTTCATTCATATGGGTGCTGTTTTGTTACGAGCTGATAATGACGGGCACGGGCCAACCAAGCCACCGGTACACAACAGCCACGCCTAAGCTAGGCAGTGTAACCAGAGGCAGGAAAAGAGCTCTGGGCAGGCAAGGGCTCTGGGGAGTCGAGCCAGACTCACGAATCGAGCCAGCTTGTAAACCACACGCTATGGGGTTCACGTCTACGTGGACATCCGGAAACAGATATCTCGCAGAGGGCGAGCAGGTATAAAGGGACTACGGGAGAACTCAGATTGTCAGATAGTTCGACAGTAGTCAACACACACAATTGGTCATCATTACCGAGACCAGTATTACGAGCATACTTGTTGTGAACCTCTTAGCTTCACTAATATCACGGGGCAAGGCCAAGGTTAGGGGATAGATTGGATATGCGTAGTTGTACGAGGACGGAAGGAGAGAGGTGTGCGCAGGTCTGGCGATATGGGGCAAGGCACGAAGGCCATGCCCAGAGCTGGGACCAGCGCACGTGCCCATGCACGTGATGTGCTAGTCACAGGTAATCCTGTGACAACTGAACAGCACTGATAGTCTTTACCTTCGGCTATCCCACTTAGGCAGATCAGACTGCCGTTCGTCACAGTATAAAACCCAGCTATGGCATCGAGCTTTCTCTTTTGAGATTTCTTTCCTCTTCTATGACGGCGCTGGCAGCCAGGGACCCACATGTGGGTCCCGCTGTCGCTGGTGTGACCAGGGTATTTATTTGGGTTTGAACGCTTGTACTTAGTTCTCTTCCTTTTTTCTTCTCCCTATCTGAAATCTTCTATTAAAGATGGAATCTTAGCTTTACTTTCGACTCCCCCATACTGTGCCTTTGCATCTTCAGCTTCTTATTCTTAGTTGTGACGATATGGATCCCGCAACTCTCACACATTATGAGATTAGATAAGGAAGGCGGTAGAGACTGGCAGAATCTAGGCTCCTCCCATGTGAGGATGTACTCTAGCGCCCAGCTCTTAATATCTCTCTGTTTTCTTCTTTAGCTTTAGTTATTTATTCATTTGTACCCAACTACGCGATACGGAACTATGTAAGCTGGTGCATCATAACATTAGTCCAAGTTAATCAAATCGTACACAACGTGCTCTCTAGTTACGCCGTGACACCAGCTTGTCATACGGCTGCACAGCTCGCCTTG